GTTCTATTTTTCTCCTGTGATTGCTTTGAATCAACTTATATGAACTTACACCTTTACTTTCAAAGGTAAACTACGGTAGTTTGCTCGTCCTCGTTCTTTTATTGTGCAAGATACAAAAAGAATTCTTGTTATTATTGTTGAAGAATGTCACATGCTCGTTCTTATCAGAAATATCATAAGGCGAAAATGAGATCACATATATCAGTTACTCGTTAGTTTTCATCCACTAAACAGCTACATAAAATAATGAGGACATTTGTTGTTCTGTGTATCCTCTTCATGAGTGGGCATTGTACACCAATGCTCGATGTTCAATTGGATGAAGCGTGGTCGTTATTCAAACTTGTCTACAATAAACAATATATATCGGTCGAAGAAGAAACAGCTCGGTAAGATAAGATATTTCTTCTATCGTTATTGTTAGCATTCGTGCTTGTAAAGAGCGACGAACACTTTGTGTTCATGATGTATTCGAGATGTACATGTTTCTTCTCTCTCTTTATTTTATAAAAAACAAGCGTATATGCGCAAAATCATTCGTCAGCAACGTGACTTGGCAAAATTAAAATGCGTATATCATTGAATAATGAGCTTTGCTAGAACTAATCTTTGTATACCATATGTATATTAAGTTACTCTAGATACCTTGAGAAAATGAATCCTAGAGACCTTTACTGAGAGAAGTTATCACTAAAAACTAGCGTTAGTGATGTGAACTTAAAAGTGACATCGATTTTCACTACATACATTTTGGTTTAAAAAACTGCAAGCTGGGCAACAGTTTTGAAAACAAAATGGTATATTCTGTAGACGATTCTGGGGGCTACAGAATCTTTATCCAAAATTTTTTTAAACATGCTTTGATTTTTCAAAAACTTGAGTTTACTCGTCGTTAGCGATGTGATAGAGTACGAATAGACTATTTTTGATTCTCTCATCTCTGTACAGATGTTCATCCATTTACTGCGAAACTTAGGACTGCTATTCTTCAAAGTCTGCTCTTTTGTCAAGCACACTAAAAAAATTATTTTACGTTTCTTTAAGATTTCTAGAAAATCTGATTACTTGGGAGAAGTTTTTGACACAATTTCTCTGTTTTTTTCTTAAGAAAAAGACAGGTAAATTTTCCAGCAGTGAACGATTGAACCAGTCGATGGAGGAAATTGTTCCATTTTGTGGGGAAATGCTTCACCCCACATAAAGTCAGAAATATGAAGGAGAAATGGAAACAGAGAATAATATACATTTATATAAACATATAATCTATTATATGATATTGTGCGCATACTTAAATTTAGAGAGAAATAGTTTTCCTCTCAAAGGGAAATGGTTCAAGAAGGAGAAATCGAAAGAAAAAATAAAAATATAGATATATAAATACAATCTATTATATGATATTGTACATATATTTAAATTTAAAGAGAGATGCTTTTTTTCAAGGGAAAATGGTTCTTATTCCAAAGCAAATCGTTAGACCGTATCGCTTCGTCCATAAAGTAATTGATGTCGTGGAAGGATGTGGATGTATGGGTGTGTAGATCTAGATGTACGTATTTTCTCCACCGACAACCGCACCCCACCCACTCCCACACATCCACACCCACACCCTTAGTATTTGTTTTCGGTAAGTTAATGTAGATGTGTTCTCTGGAATAGTCATATTAGTCTTAGTTTACAAACGAAATTCATATTTATAATTCAAGACTTTCTAGAATAGTTTCAAAGAATCACGAAATGGAAGTTATTTCACGTTCATATTGATTTCAATTTAAATATACTTATTTTAAATTTGAATTCGCAGCTCCTTAATTGAAAATACTTTTAGATCATTAATCATTTATCTTTTGTACATATTGAGCTGACAAATTCTCTGAATAAAGTAAAAATTCTCTATACAGTTCAAGATATGTGAGTTTTTAATCGGACCCTACAGAATATGCACAAAGCATATTGTATGATTATGAGAGAAGTAGTAATCTACTTTGGCAAACCCTTTCTACGAAAAGTAAGATATGTAGTCTTGAAAAACCTGAATGTGTGAATTATTTCATACATACATAATAATGATTGGGATGTTATTTTAATCAGTTCTTGAAGGATGTGAGCATGAATGAAGAGAAGATAGACCCACATCCATACTGTTCTTTGATCTATAGTTGAAAATATCTATTGTTCTAGTTGATTTATCACTTAATCATGGAGATCTATCGAGGGTAAAGCAGCATGGAAAAGCATATTGCATGCTGGTTAAGAGAAATACTTAGTTTACTTATGATTGGTTCCTATTAATATTGTGGTTGTTGATTGTCACCTTCGTCAAGAATGATTATCCTATAGGAGATATTGGCGACCGTGGGAGTTTACGAAGAGCTTTATTGTTCTTTTGTAGTTCAGCTTTTAATGCATACAAGTTATCAATTATTATTTGTAGATCTATTGAAGCATGAAAGAGTGTTGGATTACAATGTGTCATCAACCGTCCAATCAAATTTTCGACAGCAACGGATAAATATTCAAGATGAATCTGTTTCACATTGTCCTTGAATGAAATCACATGTTTAGTCTTTTCAATGATAATCTCGATCGAACTACTAGTATGAAACAGTGTCGGATAAATTTCTGTTACATGATCTTTATGGAAACATTGTTGGCTATCGTCGGTTATTTGTCCGTAGTGGTTACAGTGATGTTGTCTATCTTATTATTTAGCTAATCGATATATTAGTAGACTGACTAGTCGGGAACCCATATCGTACCGATCTTATCTTCGTCGAATGCTATAGAATGGAATCAATAAAATTCAGAAAATGATTAAGATAAAGTGATCGATGTAAAATCCGCATCAATATTGAATTGAACAGGACCAATCGATAGTCAGCACTAGTTTCTATCTATGTTTGTGATAGTCGAACCGAGATTTTATATATTCTAACTTGTGTTACATTCATTTGTGCGAGTCATATGTCGTTTCTTTCTGCATTGTTATCAATTCTGTTCTTGCTCATATGACTCTATCTTAACTTAATATTTAAAAACATTTTTCTTCGTACTGAGTTCGAAGATGTGTCGACTCTCACTTTCTTCTTTGTTTTTTCTCTCAACAGCATTCTTATCTTACTTATAGTTACGAAATTTGACATCATATCATTTTTTGAGGAAAATGGTGTGCTTTTTATATAGTTTATCGTTTTATTTGTCTATCGTTATCTCCTTTGTCGAAGAGTCACACAAATATGAGTTACAGGCTTATCTGAAACGTATGTAGTCTTTCTTTTTACTTTTCAATTTCTATTTTCCATCTTACATACACGTAATTGAGTGTCAGATCATCCTATAAGCGAGGAGAGACAGTTATCCTTTCCTTCTGAGAAGTTTTCAAAGACTCACAAGGTTAAAGAAGGAACTTTTCGTATATCCACAGACGTTCGCGTAGGATGTGTTTAGTATGAAACCATTTTATGAATTGGTGATGATAGACTTCACATAAGAGACGTAGTACAACATATTCTGAAAATGAAACACAAGGTCAGTTTTGGTAGTGCTTAATATGTCTGTTTTCAACGATCAATTGCATTCTAACTGATATCTCATTTAATGAAAAACTTTAGCAGACTACTCAACATCCTATCAGAAAAATAAAAAATAATATTATTGGAGGCTCAACATTACCAGGATCGTAAACAAATATATACATTGATGATCATGATGGCGCAAACATACATAAACGGCGAAATTAGGATTATATAAAAACCGTTGATTAGCATTTATAGTAGAGGTAGTATTATGCTGGTAAGTCACAATGTGGTCTACAGAATAAGTCTTTACTTCTTTATTATTTTACCTAGATTTTACGTCCATACTCTTCTAACTATAGTCGTGTGCCTACATCCGTATAGCTATGTCATTATACTTATGCTTATGTGCTTTAGTATGTTTGCTAGATAGTGTTTAACAACCGATGAGAAGCAATAATACCAAATAATTTGATTTGAGTCAACTCATTGTGTTTTAATTAATTGGTTAGAAACCATGAGTTTCAGTCTAATGGTTTCGACTCAAATAGAGTCTCAATCGTTGTAGCGATTAATGGCAGCGACGAATAACCGATAATATTCAGGTGAAATAATACAAACCACTTCCGCGCGAAGAGCTCAGAAAATGAGTAGGAACTTGAAAGCAGGAAATCAGTCGAAAACGATCGTAATCTGATAAAACCAGTCATCGCATTCGATTACTAAACTCCTATTCCTAAGTTCCTACCTATTTCCTGTATATACTGCCAGGAAACCGTATATTTTTCTGTGGGTTCTCATCGGATATTCACAGATCCGATAATTAGATGCATTGTTCTAGGGTATTATTCAAAGAATAGAACACCGATTCATTTACAGTGCCAAATATTATTTTTATCTACCGCTTACGCAAAATGTTTCGCATAAAACATTTGAAGATAAGCTATCCAGGCAAAATGTTTTGTATAAATTTTCTCTCTTGCTACCTGTGCAAAAAAATGTTTAAAAAAAATTTTAACACTTACTGTTCATGCAGAAGGTTTCTTAAAAAATATGCGAAATATTTTGTCTTTTCCCAGAGAACACAAATGGTTCGTTTAAAAAAGTAGGCAATCCTGTTTCACTCTATAAAACCATGAAGGGTTCTCTAAGCAAACTACGAGACTCGTTCATTGTACAGAACAAAATACAAAATTCGTTTTTTCATTGAATGAACTATACTTTTTTGAGCCTACAAAAGGTTTTGTATCAAGTATACAAAACTCACCAATTTTCTCTCAATGTACATAGGTTTGGCAACGCATCTTTTTTAGAGTATAGAAAACAAGTTTTTATGCATGATATTCGTGGATTTAGAAGACATTGACGCTTCATAAGCAATATTTGCTAAATGTTTCTCTAAGGTGATGGTACATCGTCTTGACATTTCGGCTTTCGACCTGAAATATGATTAATTTAATTTTACAATAGCATAGGAAAAAGAGAGACTTACATATCTCTCAAGTTCGTCTTCGCCTTTCTTAATACAATGTAAAAATACCCGCTACTTCTGATTAACGAATAGATAAAGCACAGAATTTATTTGTAGTCTCATTGATCAAAAATGAGTATGCTGCTTTTTGATCATATTATAGTATATGAAAGTGAAATTTTTCTTTTATCGCCTTTTGAAACGTAGTTGTCTTCAATGACATCTTTTCTGTAGCAGAAAATCCTTTGATATTCTTCATATAAAGTTATTGAGATATTTCTCATAAATTATAATACTTACCCATCAGTTGCATCCCGCAATAGCAAATGTTTGGAGTCGACGGTTTTTTGAAAAACTTTCATAACTTATCGAGTAAAAAAAAAATAATAATATTTTCGAATTTTAGATTGGAACATGAAGAAAAGTAACATGTTGCACTAGATATTCCAGCCAGCATCATCCCAAATCACTGCAAAGATCTGTAATGAAAAAGAGGAAAACGAGACATTTTCGGCTTAAAGCTTACACTCATCATTTTCTTCGAAATTATGTGACGTTCATAGAATATTTCACTATTATGAACAAAAACTTCCTTAGAAAAACAACAAGAGAAAAAAATGTTTCTACTGCACTGTACTTTGCTGATTCATTTGAAATACAGATTTCATAAATTTTTCTTATTCTAATTCGACGTTTTAGTCTACATAATACGACAAACGCGAGTGTTTGTCTAAATGGAAGATTGAAACTGTAGTAAAGTGAAAGATTTTTATTGGTTCTTCTGAGAATTTTAGTGTAGTCTACCACTACCATAAACTGTAATATACAGCTGATTTAAATGCACTTCAGGGTTCTTGTACTTCTGCTATCTTACCATCGAATTGAAAAATAATCTCATCAACTTTGTTTCTTAAATATCTCATAATTAGTGATCATAATTTTTATCGCATTATATTATTGTGATTGAGTCTAGGAAGTAACATATTAATGATGTTGATTGCTTCACCATTTTTATACTACGAGTTATTACGACAATGATTTCATGTTTTTGTTGTACTTCAGTCTCGTATCATAATGCAAAATGAGTTGATAGGAATAAATCGTCTTTGTTTCTTTCTTTCTTTTGTCAATATATTTGACATTAAGAGAAAAACTAAAAGGTGATTTGAGTCTTTTTTCGTATATGCACATTAACAATTCTGTGATATTGTCACTTTCTTATCATTCTGTCACAGTGACTATGATACGACTGTATCTTATTTGTATTTTTGATTTGGTAAAAATATGTTCAATTAACTATCAGATTGTGACGATATTTTTAGATTAAGAAAACAATAGAAGAGAAATATTCACTAGATCATATTTTCTCTTTATTCATTTTATGTCAAAACAATTTGATTTTTAAAATTTTGCTTGTAGATTTTAATATACATGTCTACAACTATGCTTTCATCGTACTGGAATTGGATCATACCATCAATCGTTGTATTTGTTCTCATAATTATCGGTATTCTCTTGTTTCTCTACTTGACAATCAATCCAAATTTTGAAGTAAAGCATCTTCCTACAGCTTCTTCACCGTTATTGCTCGTACGTATCGAATTTTTCGAAAGGAATACAATGCATTCTAGTTTTCACCCAACTTAATATGTAGATAAAATAAAATCTCAAGTTGAAGGTAGGAAATAGTATTCGTTACTCATACATTTGATCTTTTTTTCTTGTACGAACTATCTGCACTCATGTCAATTGAGTAATAATCAGTTACCTCAACATCATATTTCTTTTATGAAGCAAAACTTCTTCTATTCTGTTAAATCTTTCTTTTTGCATGACTGTTAGCGCAGATAAAAAATAACTGTCTTTTGTACTCTGCCACTAACTACCAGTTTGCTTGTGCATGGTTCAGAATGCAGAATATGCTTGTGTGATCTATTTGCTTTTAATCTCAAGATAACCGAAGTCAGTTGGTAAACCAAAACTACTTTGTCATTTTTTTTTAATTCTCTGTTCTAACTTATGGATTACGTTACTGTTCTGTGTCAGCTGCTTAATGTTGTCTAACAACTTCTTATAGTGGCTCATAACAGAGATCTGAGCAAAAATGTATGCCTTAAAAAGTAGGATTATGAAGTGAGGAAGAGACTTAATTATGATACCTATTCATATAAAGACATGAATACATTAGATGTCTTACACCAATAATTTCAAACATATCTTGATTTTTGATTTTATATGTTAGGGCACTGCGATACCTACTGCTAATAAATATGCCTTAATGTCAAATTCTGATGCAGATACCATAATGGCTGCTTCTGCTCCAATTAATGTAACTGCGACTCCTAGTAGTATAATAATCGATGAGGCTTCAATATTATTTAATAAAGCTAAAAGTGTATGGTCTATTATTTCTAAAAAGTAAGAATAAACAAAACAAAATAAATAAATTTCGAGGGAAAGTTTCCTCTCTGATATGGTTTAGTGCGGCGACGGCTGATATTCACACTATACATGGCAATGTTTTACCGGCCAACATCAACAGTCCATTAGACCTTCAAACTTGGTCGCCATCACCTGTTTCTCGTTCTTCTTCTCTAACGATTTACAGTCGTTTAGGTGTACGTGTTCTTCAATTTGACTATGATCTCGAGTTTCTTTACGGCGGCTCGTTAAATGGACGAGGAGCGTATTTGGATGGCATTACCGTAGTTCCATCACGTACAACTATTGCCTGGTGTTATGTATTCAATGCAAATGTTGAAATAACGTCTATACGCAATGTAGGTACAAGTGATGATCCAGTCGCTGCTGCACATGTTGAGTTAAAATATCAACTGAAAGCACTTAGTCGCGTAGAAGGGACAACATCATTTGATATCAAAGGTGATGGACGTGTGGATGTTTTGCATTCGAAATAAAACTCGATCATTTTAAATATTCATGTCTTAAAACATCTACAGATAGACTAACATTCAACTGCGCATGAATTTAGTATACGATCACTAATGACTCTTTAGCCACCAATGTTCACATGTGTAGGTACTCGTATAAGCATCGTACAAAAAGGTCAAATAATTTGATTGAAAACCAACTCTATATTGGTTTTAAGAATAGCAGTTCATGAGCTCTTGATTGATGACAAAAGAATTTTTTTTAATGGAATTGCTACTGAAGCTATTCCTGTATAGTATCAGCTTTTTAATTGCTGAATATTTTTTCAAATATCTGGTATAATTCCTACTTCGAATTTTTGTTTTTGGTTTTCGAAATGATATCTATATGCCAGGTACACATTAGCCGCGCAAATTACTTCGCAAAAAATATAAGTTTCTAGATTAGAAATCTCATTGTCTACGCTTGCTGACGTTGAGGAGTGTAACACGGAAAGGGCTGTTTTTTTTTGCAAACGATGCTATTCAATTATTAGCATTCCATTCAGAGATGACAACAGTCTGAATTTTTGACGACCGGCACCGGTATCGATATGAGTAGCTCAGATTTGCCTGACTAGTTACCAATATCGGTTCGATGTGTGATACAAACGATGTTTACTGAAGATTTGGTTAATATTCAGATAGAGAATCAAGTGGTTCTATCAGATTCCTCATCTGTGATACTAATAAAAACTCAGATGTTCAAAAGGTGTGGGGTGTATGAATGTGGGTGTGTGTGGGTGTGTGGATGAGTGTGGGTGTTGGTGTGGGTGTGGTTGGGTGTGGGTATTGGTGTGGGTGTGGTTGGGTGTGGGTGTGGGTGTCGGTGTGTGGGGGTGTGGGTGGGTGTAGATAAATTAGAAGAGCCACACTAACATTCGCACCCACACCCCACACCCACACCCACACCCCACACCCACACCCACACCCCACACCCACACCCACACCCCACACCCACACCCACACCCCACACTCACACCCACACCCACAATAAATTAATAGTCATATTCTGACAACCTTTTCCTCAAATTGGTAATTAAGCTTATCAACATACACTCATCAAACTGTTTTCATGGACTTTAAAGACACTCATTGAAACTATAAGTTGTCGTTTAAACATCCTCCATTAATGAATAACTTACATGTGAATTATTATTGTACATTTCAAAATATAATGTGCTCCACTGTTTTTTGAACCACTCAAGAACACAATCAGCTACAGACCTGCAGTTTTCACCAATCGATAGAGTGGACAGGAGCATGCCTTCTACTCTAATATTGTATAAGTCGAAATCACATTAAAATCAGTTATTTCTGCAGAATATTGCAAAAACCATATAAAAACGGTATATCATCCAGATGAAATGTTATGTTGACACGTGATCTAGATAGAGGGACTTGAGATCTATAGTTCAACATATTATTCAAATGATTATCTTTCCACGTCTTAACACGTAGGTGAGGTTAGCACCATATTCGAGTAAAACCATCCCATATTCGCCTAGGAACATGTTCCAAATGTTCCAATGGTGTTCCAAGTACAACTCAATGAGCTCTATCCAATGGTGCAATCAGATTTTTCATAGCTCAAACTATGGTACCAAAAATCCCAAAATACTATATTTTCCTATTGGAATTCTGGTACCATATTCGCGTAAAATCGTTCCATATTCGTACAGGAACATGTTCTCAATGTTCCTAGGCGAATATGGGATGGTTTTACTCGAATATGGTGCTAACTTCACCTACGTCATCTTAACGTTGATCAAATAAAATCGTCTATTTACTAGCACGAAAACTATGGATTTATTTCAATTTTTAAGTAAATTTTCTTACTTTTGCTCAAAACTTCATCTGAATGACATACAGTTTTTATATGTTTTTTGCAATGTTCTGCAGAAATAACTGATTTTAAAGTGATTTCGACTTATACAATATTAGAGTAGAAGGCATGCTCCTGTCCACTCTATCGATTGGTGAAAACTGCAGGTCTGTAGCTGATTGTGTTCTTGAGTGGTTCAAAAAACAGTGGAGCACATTATATTTTGAAATGGACAACAGTTTTCAGAAATAGCAATATAGATTTTTTCTTCTTCATTTTGATTTCGATAAACTTTTGGAGTCAAACAATTGTAATGCTCCCATATGTTAAATTCACTTTTTTATTAACAGCTATTCTCTGATAGGTATCATATCACATCATCGAATGTAAAAAGCAGGATGTTTACATAGTATTTTTATTTGTCTCAAAATAAAGAGTTGCTTCATGATTATATTCACGATAACCTTACAAAAATCATGGTACAACACAGACAGCAATTTTAACTTTCATTAAAACAAGGAAATTATATTAGAAATCAGCACTGGTTTCGTCGGACATCACCAATACACGGTTTAAGTTGTTATTTGACTTCAAAGATCGTTGCATCCATTGAATTCCTTCTTGTTCAATCCAATTTTCTCTGAGATCGAGTGTGGTAAGTGTCTTTGTAAAACGAACAGAAAGAGATGTATGATGAAAAGAAAGAGAGAGACTAATTACCTGGTTAACTTTGAGCGCATCAGCGATATATTGAGCTCCTTGTTGACCGACACGATTTTGTGTGAGGTCGAGTATAGCAAGTGTCTGTGTAAGATGAGCAGTTTGTGATAATAGTGAAGAGAGAGACTAGTTACTCGGTTCATCTTGAGAGCATCAGCAATATGTTGGGCTCCTTGTTGTTCGATTTGATTTCCTGCGAGGTAGAGTTCAGTAAGTGTCTGTGTATAATCAGGAAAAAACTGTATGATAACAATGAAGGAAGACTAATTACCTGGTTAACTTTGAGCGCATCAGCAATATATTGGGC